CGATACATAATATTGCTAATATTTTATAGGAGATTTCAGTTACAATTCTGGAAGTGATTGTAGAAAGATTAGTTGTTAAATGTTCCTGTTGGATATAATTGGTTACGGCGAATTCTTACTTATCAAATTTTAAATGCGAATGTTTTGATGTGTGGATAGATGAATGTTTGTTAGAAGATAAAAGAAGAACGGCTCTACGATTATCGATGAAATTTCCTTTTTTTTTTAATTCCGCGCGGGAATAGTCGTGGGAGACAAGTATTTTAGTGAGGCAATGATTCTTAGTATCCAACTTTTTTTTATCCTTTTGAGACAGAGACGTTCTGTGCACTCGCAGACTGAACAATCCTTTTTTTAGAACGACTATTGATTTATAACTACGTACGTACGTACAGAAATCTCTATGTATTTCTTGGAATAATTGATCTTCTCAAAGAGTACAAACTTTTTGCTTCATCTAATTCTTATCGTTTGATAGAATCACAGATAATGTGTGGCCGGAAATTTTATCAGCATATTGTCTGCGATATAAAAGACTGTTGACATTATCTTGGTAACAATTGATGTTAGAATGACGTGTTTGCGGTGAATTTGTATGTTTGTTGAGTGAGATTTCTGTGATTATCTTTCTCTAGAGCTATTGAACTTTGGATTTGCGTCAAAAGGAAAATTAAAGAAAATAACATTTATAATTTGACAATATCGTGTCTCTTAAAAATTTGTTTGCGCTAAAACACGATAAAGTACTTTGCTGAAAATTTTTATATAATTGAAAATACGTATTGAACACAATTTAAATTAATATTATAATTAAGTATATTAGTTTAATGATATTTATGGAGTGGATTTTGTACTTCATTAGTTATCAAAGCAATTGAATATAATGATTATCTCATTGTCAAAGATACAACAACACTTGTGTTTAATTCCAGTGAAATTGCACAATATTAGTATGTATTATCGTGAAATTCCACTACTTTTTCAAGAAGTAGCAAGAGGGCAATGTGGTTTATCCAAGTAAGTGTTCGGAACTTATCAACGCAATCACAATATGTCTTATTTTGCGTTTTGCGTGCGTACGATGCATTTATGAATTGCTTTACAGTGTGATGTAATGACACTAAATGGTTTCCGCTAATTTAAGAAAAATGAACGAAGAATTTTGGCACAAGTGAATTGCACAATTTTACGTAATAACTTTCAAGGTTGAATAGTAATTGTTTAAAAGCACATTAAAAATAAAACTATGATAATTGGGAAAAGAGGTTTTATACCTTTGTTTATTAGATGTTAGCTTATAGGTTTTTTAAAGGTCTATTCGTTGTCTTAGTTGCCTCTATGACGTCAAAACCGTGAAGGTGATATCCAAGAGGTAGTCAAAAGAGAAACATTGCAAAGATAGTTTGAGCATTCGAGTTAACAGGAGACCTTGGACCTGACCGGTATCAGATACAGTCGGCTGTAAATCCGTGACTTATTTCCATCACACTCATTAAACAAATGATAAAAAAGGATAGACTATCACGGTAAAGTGATTTTATATTGAGGCCCATGCAGGAAAAAACATTTGAATTTTACATTTTAAGGTCGATCTACGCACTATTTTGAAATTAAATAACCTAGAATAACCTTAATTCAGTAGGAATTTTTATATAACAGTAAGTAATGCTTATTTAGTGTCCAGTTATAATAAGTCGGAGACTATTCAGTTACAATCCGTCATCGAACTCCGGTACAATGGAGACGCGACCTCGACTACCGACACGACCGCTAAAGACATTTATAATCTATGGTTTTGTTAAAGTAATCTGAAAGGTAAAGGTTAAACACACATTTGGTTTAAAAAGGATGTAGACTAAAGTTATTATATTAAGTAAACTAATTCTAACCTATATCGTTGAGTTGTTCATATTTAAAGATTTAATTAATTGCTTTTATACAATTTTTTGCTTCCGGGTTCAAAGACTTCATAAATTAATAATTTCTAAAGTTCTTTTCCTATTGGTTTTCATTACTATATATGATACTTTGACCTTTTATCTTTTAGGATTTAAAAAACATGTATCGAGTTATTTTACAATAATTCTCGACATCTAATCCGATACTTCCTTAAAACTGTATAAGTCCGCGAGCTGGTGACGATATCAAAGTCTGGTAACATTTCCCGATACTAGATTCATGATACGTTGGATACACGGAACATGTACCTGAATACAATCGTACATAGATAAAGTCTTACATTTCCTACTAGATATGACAATAGGATAATATAATATTATTTTATTCTTTAGCGATTGTTAATCCATTTTTGATTGTAGACATTGTACTGCCTATTATTTAGACTTTATTTTTCTTCTTTCTCTCTGGGATTTTGTTACAAGATGACAGGAAAATGGCGCTTGTGATTAATGGAGTCATGTTACTTCCAAATGAATTATTGTTTTATGTTTCCATTGTACTGTAATACAACTCTGGTATGTCTCACGAAGCGCATCTCTTGATGAATACAATTACAAAGACTTGGCTTAGTACAAGAAACATTATTGGCCAAATTTAAATTTTGAAATTTGAAGTTTCTAAAGCTTGTAAAATTACATTTGTACACAGTTTTTTTTTAATATTTTGGTATTCAGAGTTGAAATTATTTAACGGTAAGTAATATTTGTGTGCATTTCCAAATTTAATTCCTACGGTATAAATTATTCATGAAGATTGTCTAATCTGTGCTTTGAACTTGGTTCGTCAATTCGTTATGGTCACGGATCAGATCGTGGAATAGCCATATCAAATGCTGAACAAACACGCAAAACAACCTTAATTAAGAGCTTTTTTTCTTTAAAATTTTAGTAGGTTACTTGAAATTTACTAATATGTAATCTTACCAACTAAGTTCTAGGCTAACGATACCTTATACTTTATGACAATAGTGATTGTCAGGATTCAAATCCACGACCAAGTCATCGGATGTACCCTTTAACCATTTAGGTATAGGCGCTTCACATAGATCGATCAACCTTGAGAGAACGACTTAACGAAGTTTAATAAGCAGACTAACCGTGAGTTTCTGAGAATGCCCATTTAAATCATATTGTTATCTCTGTTTTACCAAAGATGATGACAGGGATGAGGATATGTTTTATACAGAGATTTTGGTCTTTGAAACCAACGGTAAATAATATTTTTGGTTTAATTACGTTAGCAAATTATCAATAACTGTAATAATTTTTAGGTTAAAAGTTAAATGCTTCGTTAAAGTAACCAATATTAAGAAAATTGCAGTGGATTAGATAAACAAGCGTAAATTATTCGAAGATTGTCATTATAAAATAAAATTGCAACAAAATTACTTAGAAAACGAACAAAAACAACGTAACAAAAACTCAAGCGACAAAGACTAATCTACGAAGTAAATAGAAAACCTAGACAGTAATAATATTGTTATTTTAGTATTATTTACTCCGGGTAAATTTATCAAAAACCTATTTGTGCCTAAGGAGCAAAAAAACAGAAATATTTTTTCATTCTAACGGTTATTTTGAGAAGTAATGTCAATAGTAACATGTCATTGGTAATGTGAATGCCCTTGTGTGTATTTTTTATAACTCTTTTACGATCGAACTGTACGCAGTGTTGAGTGTAGATTTAAACATTCTGCCAGAGGTGGCAGAATGGCCACTAAGAACCTTTGCCTTTTTAATTGTGGAAAAAGATAGGTTAAAAGATAAGATTGCGCGGGAAATTAGAATGTCAACAACGAAATGTAGGAGTGAATAAAGTTCCATTTAATAATATTGCAAATTTGTTATAAGTGTTTTAACAACGGAATAAACGCAATTGGGCTGCCGTGCTGCTGTTTTCAATTTATAAAATTACAAAGAAAGTTTTGATATTTGTAATTTTTTTAGCTATAGATTTTTATTTCATTTTGCTTGAAATGAAATGATAACAAATGTTATCATGACAAAAATTGAGCTCAATATCCGGTGAGTGTTAGCAAAGAGATTTTTTTTTATTTCATTGTGCTTGAAATATTTCTGTTCTTGAAGTTGTTTGGTATAGTTATCAGGATTAAATTGAACTCGATACCCGGACTGTTAGCAAAATATTATATGTTTGGTGGTATGCCGAGTTTTCAATGAAAGTCTTCGCAAGTTAAGGGTGAGTAGACCTTACTTAATGACGCTGGCTATATGAGGGCTGGTTGTCTTCACAAATAGCTATTTAATTTCTTTTCAGATATGATCAGATTGCAAGATATTTGTCCAACGAAGTCAGATTTTTTTTAGGCAGTTTCAGTCGTGCCACAGAAGGGCCCTTTTGAAATTAAATTATTTAATTTGCAAATGCATAGAATTTGCAGTTAGAAACACACGTTGAAGTGAACACGCGTCTAGACGTGGCATAGAGCGTGCAGCTTGCACTAAGAATCATTTGTTCCTCAGCCTTGTATTAATCAATGATTCAAACGGCTATCATTCTCAAGGTGTACTAGGCTTTTTAATGAATTTCTTTTATTTGCATTATAAGAAAATTAATATTCATGATCTTTAATTAAAATAAAAAATCGCCGAGTTTTTGCGTGCGACGAAAATAAAGAACGAAATTTATAATTTTTGGGACGAGGCCAGATGATGTGCAAACTTATTTTACTTATTACAATAAATTGACGTAATCTAGAATATTAAATAAAAATATAGAACAAAATATTGCTAAAATTGGAAAGTGTTGCCAGTCAGATTAAAAAAAAATCTGACGGAAATCAAAAATGTTAATTATAAAATTACGTAAACCAACATCAAGAAAACACGATTCGTGCGTCATTTCCATTAAATTTCAATGAAAGCCAACTAAATAATCAACAAGGTGTAAAAGAACAAGCTGTACAAACAGACTACGGCTAAATGTAAATTTTATCAATTGACCGATTTAAAGTAAAATTTACGACATTTCCACTGGCAACACTTTCAAACGTGAAAGTAAAAATTTCCACTGGTACTCACACGAAAGCCTTGGTTTCTTGGAGTCGGACTAATCCCTGCTTGAATAGATCGTAGGCGACTTTGCTGTACTGTGTGGATATAGCGAGCAGGTCAGGCTGGTAGGCGACCTCCTTTTGGCGCTCCTCATCATGAGGGTCGGTTGTAATATTGTGTTTCCTCTTCATCCGTTCGAGCGTGCGGTTTGGCTTGGCGGGCGGCGTTTCGATCGCCGGCGCCACATCGCGAGTACAAACGTTACACATGACGTAATGACGTAAGTGGTGTGTTGCGCGCACGGAGCTGTGTGAGACTGAGCGAGGCGAGGGCTAGAATATAACTTGGACAAATCGGCTGCCCCCACTACACCGCCCGATAAGCGAACGCAGGCGCCGCTGATAACTGCCGTGCTTCCCGCTGCTGCAGCCGCTGCCGGTGACCGGTCAGCAATTAAAAAAGATGAGACTTTTGATTGGGGGTGCGTAGCTTTTCCCCCAAATTGAATTCTCTTATGTGCGCAAATGGAAATTTGATTGGTAAGCAAAATGTTTAAATAAAAAATGCGTGTAATGGTAACACAGTTTATCGATTTTAAAGATAAATCTACCAAAGTTCAATGATATGATTGTAGTATCGTTTTCAAAACTTTTTTTCTTCAGATAACTTTCGTAAGTGTGCAACAAAATATCATAAAAGGTAACTTAGGTATATATACTTGGAGAAACAAGCCGCAGACATTGAAAAATATTGCAATATTACATGTCATTGGTTTTGCTCGTGTAACTAATTTAAATCCATTTGTAAAGTATATTTCACGAAAAAGTTCATTGATGTAACGGTAACGGCATTGATGTCGCATTTATAATTAATGTTTTCATATATGAAAATATAAATATGAATGAAATTTAAATGAATTTTACATGCAGATATATTATTGTTATCCGAGGAAATACTATTGCATTTTTAAAATGACCACATTCCGTCTTGCTTTCCTTTTTTGAAAAGGATGGGAAGGGGGAGATGATTAAAATTAGGCCTGTTTGTATGTAAACGAAGATAGGAAACTATAATAAGTTGAACTTTTTCTAAATAAATAGTTAATTTGATGTTATTGACCTTTGAATAAATGGGTAATAGAGCTGAAGATATTACTTATCCCAGAAATCTTTTTTAAGGATATTAACCTTGACTTTAGATTATTGCTACTCACGTTCTGAATACCATTTTTTCGTCTTCCCTAAGGAGACGAGCGGATGCGGCCAAATCGCACCAAGTCTAAGCCATTCCATACTCGGCAGCCGTATCCTACGCAGGTTGCATTATTTTAACAATTCTCGTGCGAAAAGAGGCCGTGAATCGCATTTCTAACGTAACAGGGATCCGTAGTAAGTAACTTGCATTTCTTAATATTATAGGATGTATACAATTTTGTTAAGAAAGAGAGTACCTAGGTAGCACTTTTGTTGAATCAACTCTAACCTGTTAAAAATAAGGAGTTCTCTACTAACATCCCTGTGATACCTAAAATAGCTTTTTGCGCAGCGTCTTCTGCGAAATTGCAAGCAAATATAAAACTAAACAGTCATCAGTCGTATTAAAAGATTAGATTATATATTTATAGACTCACTCATCGTTCTAACGATTAAAGAGAAAAGTGGATGTTATTGCAGTGCTATCGAATAAATAAGGAGGTGGTCACGGAAAATTATTTGATGCAATTTTGTTTATAGATAGCGTCACGCGCTCACCCAAACGGGACAGGCAGGCAATGTCCTACAATGTTTAGATACGATACATCTGAGATACAAACGAAGATAAAGCTCTTGTAATTGTATGTATATGATTCGTGTTACACGTGTAACCTAAATATAAAATAATTTTACTAAAATAAAAAAAAATGTCACATGTCAAATACACATATCATTGTAATGCAGAGTTCAACTAGTAATTAATAACTAGATGTAGTAAAATGGTAAAATGTTTAAGCTAAATATAATTAGTTCTATGGAATTAATGTTTACCTTTTCGTCACAAAATTCTTGGAAGTCCAGATTCGCAATAAAGCTAACGCTTTGGTTGTATTTGCAAAATAACTGGTGCGATGTGGCGCCATCTTATTCCTAGTACAAGTTTGTTTATTTATTTATTACAACCTAATTAAATTTGTTTGTTTACAGTAAATTGAAACATCTGAGTACTAATTGGTGTAATTGGTCACGCTGATGTCATTGCGAGCTGATGAAACATTATTGAAAATATTTCGTTTCATATTCCTTTGTTCCGAATTAAGTTATTTGCAAAACTTTTACCTGTCTACAATCTCTTACAAATAAATCATGAAAAATGTGTACATTGTTTTATTTTCTCTGTATTTTGAAAAATCACGACGATTTGCAAAAATGAATGAAAACCCTTATACAAACAATACACGCAGCTTGCTGATTGCGATTTCGTATTCCTAAGAGATTTGTTCCGCGAGGTTTCTTATCGTAATGCGAAAATTTCCACTCGTTGTTGTCGTAAAGACATCACCGTTTTTGGTTGTGACTATGATAGTTTGATTTGATATAACATTGATTACATATTGTTAGAGATAGCTAACAAAATTGGACAGTTTATATATGTAACATTTAAAAATTAATACATACTAGCTGTCGCCAGCTTCTCCGTCCGCGGCGAATTAAACAAAGCTTAATTAGGAGCCTACCTGTTCTTCCAGGCTATGTTCTACATCTGCCCCAAATTTCAGTGAGATTCATGCAGCCGTTCTGAAGATACATTCCAACAAACATCCATCCGTCCTAACCATCTAAAATTTCCTATTTACAATATTATTCTTTTGCGCAAAAGTATTTAATAAGAGTTTTTTTATTTTTTTATTTCTAGCGTCAAGTGAAGCTTGCGTTCAACGTGTTCAGATTGGAATCGATATACAACAAGTGCATAAACTTAATTCATCAAGATTTTGATGCACAGCTTCAATTCATGTTTTATTTCCAGTATTGACGTATTTCACATTCCCAGTTTTATTTGTTTCTGATAAAACTGTCTGGGTAAATAAAATATTTTCAAGATAATGCATACGAATACCAATCTCTTTTGTGTTTATCCCCGATAAATGTATTGAGAAGTCCAGACAGTAATCAAAAATCAATAATGATAAGGTGTTTTACGAATATTAAGGGCTAAAAATAATCATTCTTTCCACTACAGCTACGTAAGCCCAGATTTGGGTTACTGAGAATAATGGTATCGCTTTCTGTATTAAATCTACTAGTCGTCCAAAACTTTGTCAGCGCGAAAAAATTAAAAAAAAGCCCTTAATATGCCAGCATACATTAGCTGTCTTTCTGTTAAACTCCCGTCAAAATCAGGCCAGGCGTTTCTGAGATTAGCCAGATCAAACGCAGACCGGACAAACAGACAAACAAGACGAGAGAAGACAATATTTAAAAATTGATATTTCTTTATTAATAGTATAGATTTCTCATTGTCTGTTATTCTCTGTGAAAAAAGAGATCAATATATTAGGCAATACAAAAGTCACCACAGTGGTATTTCGCGGTTCCACAGTCGGCGTGTGTTTTAAAACATTTTGTTTATTTATTCTGATCGCTTCTTGTTTTGTAAAACAACAGAATACCGATCCTTGTCGTCTCAATTAACTATGTCTACGTAATATCAGAGTATTGTAAACCTACAGTAAACCAAAATGAACATAGTACTACATTTGACTGACTATACCGTGTAAAACTCTAGAGTTTTATATAATATGTATTTAATACTAGCGGTCGCCCGCGAATTCGTCAGCGAGGAATTTAAAAAAAGTAGCTTATTATACCCACATTCTTCAGCTTCAGGTCAAAGTCCTGACAAAATCAGTCCAGATTACCCGGAACAAAGGCGACCTTGCTGTTAGACACACAGACACAGACAGACGAAAAGTAAAAAAAAAATTTTTTCTTTATCAGCAACGTAAGCTGCTGCATATATCTCGTGTACGAAATATGATTTTTGTTTCGACACTACACACATACACTCCAGTTTATTGATATGTATAGATGACGTCACTGTCGCGTTATTAATCCATATCGGTTTTAACAATTAGTTTCTACACGCGTTATATTATTCGTTACGTATCGATAAACAACTAGACCAGTTTTTATAAAAACTAGTTTTGTTTTTATTCCTGTTATTTCTTTAGGCAATTTTTGCCGGATTTTAATGTTATTATTAACTACTTTATTCAAATAAGTTTCGATTCAAACATAATTCATAAACTATACTAAAGTTATAAAATGTTAAATATTTATCACAGAAATATAAAAAAAATGTAAATTGACTTTTAATTTAGCAAAGAAAATATAACTTTAAATAATAAATTAATTAATTAACTTTTTACAATATTTTTTAACAAAAATCAGTAATATGATATAATTGGCGAGTAGTTTTTTGCACGATTGTAAAATCAGTAATTATTCGATTAAAAATAATTAAGTAACTTGTTTCCTTGCAAAAAAAAAAAGAAAAAAATGTTTGATCATTCACAGACCAAGTTTCTGTTTAATTTAGTATTTATTATTAATCGATATAAGTTGTTACTGTATTAATTAAAAATACTTAAAATAGGAGGATTAGTTGCAGCATAAGAAGCGAGCGTATCACCATCTCAAAGGCCGGCAACGCATCTGCGGTTCCTCTAGTATTGCTGATGTCCATGGGCGTCGTTGAACACCTCGGTGTTCCCGCTGCTCGTTTGCCCCCTTCTGTTATAAAAAAAGCATCTTAACGGTCGTAAACTAAAGTGTTTCTTTTAACCTATTTGCATCCAGAACAAACGTTATGATACCATGTCTTAGTGACATCTAGATTAAAATCACGAAAAACTTTTTTCGCGTACAATCGATGCAAATATTTGATTCGTCAAAGGACAAATAAATAGTAAATACGTGGAAATCTTACAACACGTACTGTGTGAGCGATATGCGGTTGCATACATTTTAATTCATGAGAACTAAACTCGCGCCTTGAATTTTGTAAACAGCGCGTGGTCAATCGCACGTCCACAGTTGCAGAAATCATACAGAATCCCTTGAGGAAAATCTATAAATCAAAGAAGTAGAACTAGGAAGCTATAGGTATACTACTACTAGTGTATTGATTACGCCCTAGTTAATTGTAGTTATAGTTATTTTGAGTGAAGGCATAGATCACGCTAACCCTTAAGAATCTTTCTAACCGACTTCATTTCACAATAAACTGGGGGAAGGAAATGTAAAATTTACATCATTAAGGTATTACTAATATACATAGTTTTAAACAATGAGGTAAAATGCATTAGTGA